ATCGTAACACAGAGTATTGTTTCGTTTTTCGAAATATTCCAGGATTACTATTTCTACAAATCATCATCGAATAAATCTAACATCGTACGTCAGCATAACAGCCTAAACTCCATCGGATAAAATTTCAATTACGAAACATCTGACACACCCAACGAGCAACATCGACACCGACGTTGGCACCATCGACGTCGATGATCAAACGATCTAGTAGAAAATTCCGTAAATCATCGACGATCGAACTCCGACGACCGATCGACGAGTCTCATCGTCCCGCGGCCACGGGGTCCACTGTTTCCATTGGTCCGATTCTCGATCCTCGATCGTCGACCGATCTCACGGAGGGGTTGGAGGCCTGGATTGGAATAGGATCGGAGCGAAGCGTGAAGAGGCCGTTATTGTGGGCGCTGGCGCGCGTCATTTGATCGCGCACAGTGGAAGCCAAGGCCTCTCTGTGTGCACCATTTCCCTCCTGCCAGGCTTGTCGGCCGATCCGCCACCCCGTTTCCCACCCCCGACCCACCCCGTCCTGTCGTTTCGCCCCGCGCCGCCGTCGAAGTTGCGCAACCCAGCCCGCAGGAAGGGTAGGTGGGCCTGTGAGGGTGGAATTTAGCCCGCAGGCCGGCCAACCTAATGGAAACAAGAAATTGCGGCAAACAGCGTTACCCACGCCTCGACGCCCCGTAAATATCGCGGCTGAGAGAGACAGCGTGGCCGAAAGCGGCGCCCACAACTGGCCGACTCTCCTTGTCAAAGGATCCTCTGGATCGGCTACCCTCCAGCAGGAGGCCGCAGCGGGGGTGGCAACCGACGTGGAATGTCTTCATGAGCATCTTTCTGCTCGGTTGTTCCACGTGCTTCGCGTGGATAGTTTTCTTTGTCGGGGTGCAGTAGTGGGGTAGTTGAGAAGAAAGGTGGACGAGCTTTTGGCTGATTTGTTTGGATGATTGCGGGGATTGGCAATTGAGGGGTGGTTTATCTAGGGTTGGAAATATCTTAGGGTAATTGTTCGAGAGAATTGCTGGGGTTTACTAAACTTGCGGATATATGCGGATGACACGTCTCAATATTGCGAAGTAGATGTACGATGTGTTAATTTATAATATTGTTTATGTACGCTGTTCATAATTCGCGGTTGCCGATAACAATCACGTATCCAGTGAGGAAACGAATATCCGAGGATCGGATGGGGAATGCTTAAAGTTGCAGGTTGAGAAATTGTTTCGAAGATAATGGAAATTAATTCCGTTAAGGGATACGCGGATAAGATAATCGAATGAGAATTTCGACGATAACAGAAATATTCCGATGCGATGGAAATGCCGGTAACAATAGGAACGGAAACCGTGGACACTCTTGTAATGCAGCTTCCGGACATTGGACGCGTTCGAGTGGGCAGCACTCGTTCCTGGTAAAAGCGCATTGGCCACCGTCTATTTATCTGGGTCTCTGATAATCGAGTTATCGCTGCTTTCTTTTCATTCGATTCAACCGACACCGAGAGATATCGCTGACACTTTCGAGGGATCGACCACGTTTCGAGTGCAATTTATTAGAGAAACTCTCGTGTACACCGGCAGCGTTCCGACGATTTTACCCCACCAACGGGATCGCTCGTGTTTGCCAAGAACGTTTGTTCTCCAAGCACGACTTTAGACCTAGCGATTTTTCCTTCTCGATACTTGAAACCTCGCGATGTATCAATTTTTCCACACTGACAATTCTTCGTTAGTAATGCAATTTCTCTTGGAAGCATCGACTAGTTAATGGTAAATTAATTTTTAATTCGAGCATTGCGCTACTCGCAAGAATGGATATCGATCGTCGAAACTCTTGCGATATAAATTCTTTGTCATTAATTGCTCTGTTACTCGATTATCCCTGCATTGCTACTTCGGTACTATCGTTACTGTTATCACTCTTACCATATTTCGTCAATTGCGTTATCGTAAATCTCTCGTTAATTACCGTGGATTTCTGAAAAACGGAAGTCATCCTGGAGGAAATACTCGATTGAGGCTGTAAGTGGAAGGATAATCGAGGCGACGAGAACATCCAAGAGGAGATGACGCGGAGGAAAGACGGTCACGGTGACGGAAAAAGGCGAGAAAACGCGAAGGAAAGGGGGAACGCTGAATGTCGAGTTTTCAATCTGCCATTCTATCATTGACAATTTCGCGCAAATGGGATCGCGGTGCAAGGGCGTTGAGGCGTGCTCTCGGCGCACATTGGCGTTAAATAAGAGTAACCCAGCCAGCGCGCCGCCACGGCATAATTGCCTGTGAAATCACTAGATGGATTTTGCCTCCTTGTTCTGCATTTCCATCCTGTATTTTTGCAACGCCACCCCCAACCACCCCACCCACGCAGCCTCCAGCTGTGCTGGCCGCGTAATTCCGGGATCGAATCGCATCGCGAAATTGTTTCGTATCACAGCCGCGAATGTAATTCGTCTGTGCACTCCAGAGTCATCGTCACGCGAAATTTCAATCTTCTCTGGACGGTTTCTTTTAATTTTGAAATTCCACGATACAGGAGCGACAGAGGATTTACGATTTCGTGAAAGCAGAAGAATTTCTTGGCATTCGTTATTTGCAAGTTTTAGGTACCAGGAATAGATAGCGTTATAAAAATCGCGATTTTGTAAAGCATTTTACTAGTATCTCAATCATCGTTGATGCTTCTATAATAGGGAAAAAATAGGACAATACTTGCTAAATTCGTGAAATTACTGCATAGGATGGTTATTACTGCAAACAATTGAGATGGTCGTAGTACGATGAATCCCTTTCTTTCTTGCCTACTTGCATCGCAAAGGTGGAGTGGTACTTTGACCAGAGGAATGTATTTCCGCGATTCGGTAATCGCCTTACCGCAACAGAGACCGTCGTTACCACCTTATCTCGTAGCAGCGGCGAGATAGAGAGAAAAGAGACCGATGGCACAGAAAATCTGCACGCGAACGAATCCTTCGATAATTCCAAAGCGAAATAATAAAATCTCACGAAGAATGCTCGTTATTGTAGGCCATTGATACGCACTTTCTACTGAGAAACGAATCCCTCGACGATGCAAGATGCTGGATTCCTCTTTGAATTTCAAGATTTTACAAGACCAATTCTCGAAAAGACGTCGGAAAGACAAATCCAGCGACGATCAATCGGTGGTAAGAGCGGGCAGAAGAAAAGCGGAAACGAGAATGCGAGGTAGCGTAACAGCCGCGCGTCTACTTAGCATAAAAATGGCCAATTATCCGACTAACAAGTCGACCGAGCGACGAAAACCCCGTGGAAACGCGGGGCTGGCTGGTCCTAACTCCGTTAGCGCCTCCTCGCCTCCTGAAGGAGATTAGTTAGCGTAAATGCCGTTGGTCGTAGCATTTTTATTCCTGATTACCGTTTCTCGTCGTGCTAATCTCGTTACCTTGACATTCGAAAACTTGACTCTTCCTCTCTCTTTCCTTCGTCACTCGGCCCACCTCCTCTTTTCCGCCACTTTTCTCCGACGTCGAGGACATCTCGAGAAGGAGAAGAAGACGTCACGAGGAAGAGACGAGAAGCAGCGAAGAAACGTAGAGGCATCCAACGTTCGAAAGACACGCGACAATGCCGGCATGATTTCCGGAAGGACTGAATGCCATCCTAATTCTTCGAGGAATAATCGCGAGTGCAAGTTTGTTTGCCTCCCTGTTTGTTCACCGGTTTTCTCTGTGTTGCGTAATGGTCCCCGATGAATGTGGAAAACTCGAAACGGGAATGTCTTTCACTTGGACTTTAACCGAGACGCTTAGATTTTTTGAATTTTCTTATTTAATCGACAATGGCGGCGATAAAAGGCGAATGAAGGAATTTTTCGTAATTTCAACCCGACAATACCCTATCCCGTTGGATCAAGGGAATAAAGGGTTATTTCCAATAAAGAAAAGTAAACTGGGTATCTTGGAGATACTTAAAGTTGGCAGAAAAATTCGAAGAACGAGATACTGGGATAACCTGGTCCGATGAGAAATCGGTAGAAAGATCGATGGAAAAATCGGAACCGGAAACGAAACCAGGCAGCGTTATTTGAACGAGCGCGTAATTTCTTTGGAATCCGCTTATCTCGGCCCCGAAAACTATAAACCAGGAACACATGTCGACGTAGCGAGGCGGGAGGTTTGGGTGGTCGGGGGTGGATGCTGGTTAACCAGGCTGAAGCAGGAGGCAGCCGAAAGCTAGAGGCGGATGTCGCGCCGGGGCAAAGTTAAATTAAATCACGGGCGAAGGCAGCTAATATTGTAGTTTATCTGGCGGGACATTAGCGCGGTGAAATATGCGCCTCCTTCGCCTGAACTTAAAATCAAGATCCACCGAAGTTCTCAGAGCTCGTTCTCACTCTGTCTCTCTTTCTCACGCTGTTTCACTCTTGGCGCTGTCGCTCTCTGTCTCGCATGCGGCCACGTCCTTCCTGCTAAGTCGCGCATGAAAATACTAATTATTATACCGATTATTAATACGAAAAGTTCCGTGCCGCTGTGCCTGTGCTGTTAAGCTTCAGCATCGCGTGCAACGACGCCGCCGGAGGCTGAGTTTCTTGAGAGACGCAGGCATCCGGATTACGCTTATGCTCGGCTAAACGAGGAAAACTGGGCCCCCGTCCGCGCGAACGGCTCCGCGGATCTGCACTCGCGTATATACGCGATAAAACGAAAGTTAGAACAGGCCTGGTACTCGTCCTTCTTTCCACCAGGCGATTTTGGATCCCGTGAATCGTCGAACCGCGATATGCGCTATCGCAGACAATTCACGTGCACGATTCTTCGTTTAAAGTAAAATACAGGTAACGTTTTGTGGATAGTACAGGCACGAGAGTATCGATAAGAGATTAGCTTGATTAAGATTCGAATTTTTAAATCAAAATACGCCTCGAAATCGTATCGACAGTTGGTTTATTTAGAATTATCTTGAGCAATCCAGTTTTGTAAAATATTTGTGAAATATTTCGCACTCGTTGGTATAAAAAGGGGTAAAACTGTCTTTTTTGAGGTATTACTGTAGTATTGTACGAAAGAAATACGTAACTTTATCATCTATGCTAGAAAAGAAACTATATTCCCGAGTATAGATTTGTTCGTTTTAAGAGAAACGTAAATCTCGATGGCGCTCACGTTTATGCCAGAGTAGCCTTCTGATTCTTCACCACATCTTCCATGAAATTGTCGCTCTTCGAAAATCTGGCGTAGCTAAATTTAAGAAATGAAAATTATCTAGGGTCAACGAATCGTTTTCAGAATATACTTACATCCTCTTATATTTCGCCTTCTCGACGCTGGATAAAGATGGATGGGTGGATTTGATGGAATCGATCAGGTGAGACTGAACAACCTTAATGCCCTCCGCCTCGATATTTCCCTCCTAGAATCAAGGTGAGAAGACAAGGCCATTAATTGGTAGGTTAAGCGAGAAACAGCATGTAAGTCTGGCTATAGGCGCTATCGCTTATCAGCTAGACGCGTTCCTCTCGAAACGCGTCGCGCTCAGGAAACTCGCTCGCTAATTAGACGCACAGTTTGGATATTCGTGTTCTTCCGGTACGTAAGTGCCGCCGTAACTTTATTTTCCCCGTAGGAAGTTAATTAATGGCTCTACCCTTCACCCTATCGCACGACATTTGTACCTCGCGTGCTTTATGGCGATTGTGAAACGTGCATTACGAACGACATAGCTTGACTCTTAAGATCAAATCGCACGACATTTGTACATCGCGTGCTTTATGGCGATTGTGAAACGTGCATTACGAACGACATAGCTTGACTCTTAAGATCATTGAAAATTATTAACGTAAAATATTCCCAGAAGAATGTCTGATACCTAGGAACGCCGGTATGGAAAAAACACATCGTTCGATACATTCGCACTAAGATATAAAAGAAAATCACGATACCGATAACGAAACATCGAAAATTCAAAATTTGATAATACCTATCTGACGATAAAGATTATTTGAAATCGTTTGAAATTATTAACGTGAAATATTTCGAGAAGAAATAGAAATTGAATACGTAGGAATGTCACTGTGAAAGAAACGCACCGCTCGATATCGATATCGTTCGGATCTCGTCGTTGGAATCGTCAGATTCGAACTCCTGGAAGCAGGATGGCAACCAAGGGACGGGGTGTCTGCCTTTCGATTTTACAGGACCGCTGCAGGCCCTAAACCGTGTATCATTATAACGCATAAGATAATAACCCCCTCGACGTTCAGCGAGGCGTAGGCCAGGATGAAGTGGAGCGAGATGGGGGATGGCTGGTGCTCTCGGCAGCGTGCGCTAATAAACCTGGTCTACGTTTCCTCAGTTATATCGCACCATACCTACCTAGCTGGCTCGGCACTCTATATACATAGGACACAAGCAGAGAGGGAAGGGAGAGGAGTATACACCTAACGATATTATCGTCATTACGCACTATCTTACTTCGGAAGCTCCCTACAAATGATTCTTGGCCGGAGTCGCGCTAAAATGCTTTTCATTATTACAGAAGAGAGATACAACGGGCCGTGCAACAAAACGACGCGATCGTTAGGAACAGAGAAACCGTTCTCTCCACCATCGTGAAAACCATTCATTTTCGTTACTTTCCTCAGGTGTTTCGGGTGAATAGATCGTAAGAAAGGGTAGAGCAGATAAAATGATGAATTCATAGGAAGCTTTTGAAGTTTGAAAATTCTTCATTGAAACTTCGTGCTTTTTATCGATGCCTTCAGTGTTTTAATTATGTTAATATTATTATGGTGATAGAAATGTATGAATATAATTGAAAATTCCTACTTACAGGATTACTCGCGACAGCATCCTCGAAAGCTGATAGCCTAGCCTGTGTCACTACAGCGTTTAAATCTGCACCGGTAAATCCTGAAGTAAGTACTGCCAATTCTCTTAAGTCTAAACCCGTTGTGTCTGCGTTTTGTGTCTTGCACAGAGCGGCCAAGATTTCCTCCCTGTCCGACTATGTAATTCCACAAATAATTTCAGTTAACCGACATTTCTACAAAAGGTTGTTACATACTTGTGTGGAACGTTGTTACAACTATGATTTATTTTGCGCTATTATTCGCGTC